GAAATAACCATGTATTACTATTTGTATTGACAATAATTCTAGTTTGATATGTTAGCTCAATTGGTTGGTGACTAGCTTTGGCTTGTTTATTCAACATGAACTTTAGAAAGAGTTGACTAGTTTTGCAAAACTGAACTGACTCATGGGTATCTTAAGTTTCCATTTTTAGTATTTGCTATATTGAAGCAAATTAGTAGACAATTCATGATTTCTTTGGAAATTCTTAATTATTTTCAAATAAATATAGTAATTGGGTTGAGATTACAGAGCCATGCCATTGTATTGAAAGAAAGCCTAAATGCCCAGAACCTGTAATACATGAGGTCCTGCCACAAAGAAAGTCACTTTCCCTTTTCCCTTCTCTGTTTTGGCAGTTATTATATTGCATTGCAATTCTGCTTACACATCTGTCTTCCCCACTAGATCGAGAACTCCTTAAGGCCAAGAACCTCATTTTATTCACCTCTGTATCACCAGGATCTAATACACTGTTTGGCACTCACTAAGAATTCAACAAATGTTTTTAGGTAAATAAAGGTTAAAGCAACAGATTTGGTTGAATAGCTAATTTCCTAATGTGGGGTTCAATTAGTTATTTTTTTGCTTTCTAGTCCTGAGTACTGGATTAAATGTTATATTTTTATTTATTCTCTTATAGAGTCTTTTATAGTGGTCTCTTAGGGGATCTGATATAATTTTCAGTAGACAATGATAGGCTGGGGAAATTGATTTCAGATGAAGATTAACACTCCTTTACACACATAGAGACAGTTTGAGATAGTAGCATGTAACAAAGTCATGAAATATAAATTTGAATAGCCTGTAAATATAAAATAAATTCTTAATGAGAATAGAAAAGAAAGAAAAAAAATCTTCTGTACCAGATCAGATCCATCTGGAGATGAATTATTGGCTTTTTGAAATATCTGAAATAATCTAATTAGCTCAGACTGTTCTACTGTTCTGAGTTTTTCTTATCTGCCTTAGGCCCCCAGGCCCTCTTTTTCACTCTTCAACACAGAAAGAGAAAATAAACAGTGTTCGTGTTTATTTTCTCCATAACACTACCTGGCTTCTTCTAAGTCTTAGGAAACTTCCAAGAAGAAAATTATCATCATCAGTAAGAACAGAGCACATTTTCAAATTCACCCTTAATTAAAATTAAATGGCAGATCTCAAATCTTTGCATCCAAATTTGTTCATGGCTTTTTCAAAGCTGCTAGTAGTATGTTATAGCTTATAAAGCATGCATTTGAGTCCTATACATTTCAAATAGAGCACATGTCTCTATGACATTTAAATACTTCAGTATTAAAGGTACAATATAAATTAACATATTGTAATACAATGTTGTTTTTGGTAGAAAAAATATTGAAAATGTATTCCCTCTCAACAGCTGAAAAGGGAATTAGCCCTGGTATAATAAAGGTTTATTTTTCAAATTTAAAGCTAAATTTACCTTTAGACCAAGAAAATAAATGGAGGACAACAGGACAAAATTGGATTTTGTGTGTGTTTTCTACATTGTTTTTATCTTTATATTTCATACATTACTACAGGCAGTTTTAGCTGCATAGGCTTGCTTTGTGAGAGCAATGGTTTCCAGATTATTTTGTTAAGAATGTGTTTATCATCTCAATATATATGGCTATTTGGTTAAGATTAATCTTCTTTCAGCATTATATTGTGAACACAATTTAGCAACACCAAACTGTCATCACTATGTCAGCAAAAACGTATGTAAATTTCTAGAACCTTGCAGATGACTAATGGATTATACTATAGGAGCGAGAAAGTCAAGATGTTTATTTTCCTCAAGAGACACAACAAAATATCTGTACTCATGCCAACTCCATGTGCTAAAAAGTATTTATTTATACTGAAATTTTTCATTTACTGGGTTGCCTTTAGAAATATCCAGAACTGAGAACTGAGTGTAACCCTCAAACAAATACATAAACAATTATTGCAAACCATATTACCATGTTTTCTAAAACTATCTTAAAGCTGGTACTCAAGTGTTCCCCACCCATTTCTTATTTTACATAAAATGTCTACATGGGCTATTCATCCACAGGCAAAATAGAATTGAGAATGCTCTAGAGAAACGAATTAATGTTTCTTTTGGTTGTCTACTATTGCTTAACAAACTACCCCTAACTTAGTGGCCAATGACAACCATTTATTCTGCTTATGACTTTTGGGGTAAGAAATTTCAGAAGAGTTTGGCTCAGTGGTTTGTCTCTGATCTACAGGGCATAAACCAGGGCAGCTAGGGCTGGACACCTTCTCCACTTACATATCTGGTGCCTTGGTGCCAGTTGCCTCTCTTTCTCTCTCACTCTACATGGTGTGTCATCTTCTTGTGCCTCTCCATATGGCTGGAGTGTCAAGCAGCACAGTGGTTTCAGAGCAGACCAAGAGACCAGTACAGAAGTTGCAAGTTTCTTTCCACCCAGCCTCTGATATCTCAGAACATCACTTCTGCCATACAATATTGGTCAAGCATATCTCTAAGGCCAACTCAGATTCAAGGAAAGGGGAATGAGAAACGATGTTTAGATGGTAGAAGTAGCCAAACATTTGTGGCCACCTTTAATCTACTGCCATGTTGTCTAAGATTTTAAGTGATGTGATTTGGGAAGCCCAAACTCAGTAATGTGCTTAGCCATTTGGATTAGGTTGTTGTATCTTTTGGCAGTTCTAATTTTAGTTCTACTTTGAGGATGTCCAAAGCTGAATGTGGACATTTCATTACCTTACTGAATTCTGAAAGTTTTCCAGACATAGACAGGGATGTCCAATAGCCCCAGTTATCTTTCTCTATCTCCTTTTTATACCTGGAGTTTTCTAAACTCTCATCAATCTGACTGACACTGAGGACCTCTTTGACATTTATAGTGCTTCTGATATTACCTTACAACTGAGGTATAAGAGCAACTTACAAAATGATTTCCAATTGTGAATAAGCGGCGCTAAATGAATCTGTGGAAAAGTTAAAATCACTTAAAATTACCTAGTCATGTGCTCCTTGAAATGTCAAAGATCTGATTTGACTGACTTTGCTTTTCTTGCTCTGAGTTATGTTGTTGTTTTAACATCTCAGAGAAACAGCCTTTCTGGGATGTAAAATGGATAAGTTTCCATCATTCTGTCTATAAAGTTGTTTCCAAATTGTCTTACAAACTGACAACTGAGAAGTTCAGCCTTATATCTAATATAAATTGGAAGTAAATTATTTTAGTAATTGTACATTTCGACAGAAAAGTTTGAGAAGTACTGCTCCAAAGCAAGGAGAGGGACCCGGGCAAGGGGATGCATTTCATCCAGGTACACTGAGTGCAAGACCTGTATGTGCCATTCAGGACATCTATAAGACATGTGATTTGTATAAATATGTATTCCAACATAGATATATTTGTCAAAATACCCTACCAACGCTACCACCCTATACAATTACTAATTTACTTCCAGAATAAAGGGAGTATTTCCTAGGGTCCACAAACATAAAATTTATTCATGTTTTACTTGAAATACTTGTCCAAATTTTGCTTTTTCCTATTTAATATATATGTATTCATATACAAACAATTTATCTACTCAGTCTCCACTTTAATGATACAAGATCATTGTACCATATGGTTTCATGTAACTCCTGGCAAACCACAAAGTACTCTTGGGATATTTTATCTCGGTTTGAGATGGAGAGATGTAAGTAAAAATTATTGAGGAATAAAGGTGTTAGCACATCTCGATTTGGCTCTAACAAAATATACTGACTAAAAAATAAAACAGAGAATGTGAGTAGAGTCATAGTCTACTACTTTAACATTATTTACAAAATATTTACCACTTCCACAGTCTAATTTTGACAACATGTTTATTATTTTCTCTTCCTTTTGTTTTAAAATACTTAACTTTGATATGCATATTGCTAGGCTGCAACTAAAAACTATGTGCTATAGTTCATTTTGGAAAAATGAACAAACTCTTAGGAATATAATTTTCTCTCTCCTATTTTCAAGATAGAAATAAGCCTCTAACAATCCAAGTTGGATTGTAAAGAGCAAAAGTTGAGTCAAAAGTTTCCAAAGTGAGTGAAATATTGGAACCAATTTGTCTTCCCTGACTGTATAATTGGTGAGTACCATTATGGTCACAACTTTCAATAAATCATATACCCAATGTAAGCCCAATACATTTCCAGAATGTTTACTTAGTTCTTTTGTGGTTCCCTTGTTTAGAATTGAAGAAATTTGGAATACTAGGATGAAACCCAAGATAGATGAAAGCTCACAAACGTTACAGGACATAGTTAGATTAAAGGCCACGGGCACGGTTTGAAAAAGATCTTAGCAGGCGTCTGAATTTCAAGTTTACACTACTTGAAATTGTAAGGATTAGTGGTAGGGGACTTTAAGAAGAGGCTTAACACCTTCTGTCTTTATTTGAGTCTGTAAAAAGACAGTAGCACCCATAAATCAACTTGCTTGTTTTTCCTAACACCGTATGATTCATAAATATTCAGAATCCCAACCTAAGAACAAGTTCTAAATAGCTCTGGATTGGGTCATTGGATATGGTATCATCAGATCATTTTCAACACTGAACCAAAGAGGTGTCTTTTATTTTAAGAAGTGCTTGATCTTCAGGAGACAACATGCTCCAAATAAAAAATTTTGGCTGACATGTATGAAAAGTTTACCGTACCAATCACCAACGTAAGACACTCATGAATCTATCAATCACCGAGTTAAAAGCTCTGTCATACAGCACACTTAATACCCAGTGTAACCAATTAGTATAACCATTCCTCGATGCAATACAAACTCATTTCCTTAAACTGCTATTGCACTGAACTCCAGGGTTATAAATAAGCAGAACACAAATTGATTTGCATGTAATAACAATGGCAATAAACCTTTCCTGGTTCATGCAATTTTCCCCATCTGGTAACAGACAGCAAGTTTAGGATCTATTATTCCCAGAAGGGGACTTACCCAGCTGGACATCTATAACACTTGGCTGATTCTCCATGGGGAACAATGGCTTGGGAGGCTTGTCTGTGAGTAAAGCTAGAAAAGAAAATGAAAGAAAGTAATGGAAAAATTGAGATAAATTACAAGATAAGAAAGATTCTATCGTGTATGATATTTAATGTTTGTAGACTTGATGGCGTGTAAACATATGTTAGACAGTGTTCCTACTTGAGTAGTTACTTTATCCATACAATATCCATTTCCCGGCACATTTAGAGCACCATTGATTCCCTGTAAATAGGCCATTTCAACAGCTACACTTTCCAACAAGATTAAACAAATAGACTATTTTGAGTGGCTTTTATAAGCTTGTGAATATAAAGCCATAGAGGTTTTAAAAGTATAATTGACATTTTTTTTTTCAGGAAAAACATAAAATCCCTATGCCTGCTTTGTAGCACTATTTCTCAATGAAATACAACCCTAATGGACAGTTCTAGTGGCATGAATCTTCTAAGCCTGACTCATTCCCTACTCTCCACCCCAACCTTCAAAAGTATATAATAAAGCAGTGGTACCTCCATTAGGATACCTGATCAAAAATACTGATTAAGCATCTTTTATGTACCATGGCCTGTGCTAGGTGCTAATAGAAAAGGAAGTAAAGTCTTTATCCTTGTCCTCCATTTACAAGGTAGGATTATGAACATAGGACTAGCACACCAAAATAGAGAATAGAACACAGAATACAACCTAGTAAAAATTGTAGCATTTTATCTATGAGGCTATATATAGATGGTAAATAAATGGAGAAAGGAGAGGTTAATATTGACTGACAGGGTTGGGCAAAGTTTTGTGAAAGAAATGGATCTCCATATGAACCTTAAGGGATGGAGACAATTTGGAAAGGCAGAGAGTAAGGAAGAAGAAATTCAGGAAAGATTAACAACACAAACTGAGGCACAGAGGTAGAACTTGGCAAGCATAATGTGCTGTAAGGAAAGTGGGCTGGAGAGAAGGGGTTGTGTGAGATGAATTAGAGATGAAACCAGATACATAAAACAGGGCTCGATTCTGGAGGATCCTGAGAAATACACAGAGGAATTTGGACATATTATGGTAGGCTAGAATGCCATTGTACATTCTTGGAACAACAAAAAAAATTGACTAAAAGGAAGTTCTATCTAACAGGGATTGGCTTGATATATAGGATGGGCTGGAGGAAAAAAATCTAGTTAAGAAGATGAAGTAACCATGTTGCAGTGTTTGGGGAGGATGAGGGGTCAGAGTTAGGAGTTAGGAGAAATTTAATAAAAGGAGGGGAAAAATCTGAGAGGTACCTGGAAGAAAGAAATGAGAGGACTTGGCATACAGATATATAATGTCATATATATTGCTGTCATAAAACAACACTTATATCAAATTATTATTTATATCTCAAATTCCTTTTAACAGTTCCTATATTTATGTCTTCCTTCAACTATCTGACTAGACTCTTGCCTACTAAAAAGAAATATTTTATACTTTATAATAATTCATAGGAGGCATAGAATTGGGTTGGGCTATAAGATAATTAATAAACCATCATTAATTGACTGGTGTAGGAATTCCCTCCTGACATGAAAGAAGAGCTCATACTATTTGCAAAGATATTGAGAAGAGAAAGAGAGAAACAAGAGTTGATCACAAGACAGGTAAGGTTAGGGAAATATACAAATTTGGTGAGATTTCCAAAATTATAGTTGATTATAAACAAATGCATTAGAACTATACTCAGAAAAGAGCTTTACAAAAATTAGCTTCTTCTTCCTGATATCTCAATGGCCTGAAATAGGAAAATTTTGGTAAATTAATTATTCTCATTTTTTCAAGAAATCTTTATTGATGACTTACAACATGAATTGCCCTGATGGAACTGGACAACATTTTTTTTCTTTTTAATATCGGAAATAAAGTATCACAAGAATGGAAAAACAAACACCACATGTACTCACTATTAAATTGGGACTAACCCATAAGCACCCATGTGCATAGGGGGAAATAAAACTCAATGGAAATCAAGACAGGAAGGGAGAATGTGCAAAAACCTATCCAATGGGTACAATGAACACTATCTGGGTAACAGCACACTTTTAACCCTGACTCAAGCATTACAAAATCAATCCATGATCATCATGTGGGATAATGTTTACCTATTACTCCATATGGAGAGCAAGCAGATTAGGAAATGATGATTGGAGCTCACATGATATGTGATTATACATTTCTGTGTAATCAGGACTTGCAACAAAAGTGATCCATGTAACCAAAAACATTTGTATCCCTGTAATACTTCGAAATAAAAAAAATTTTTCTTTGTTTTAACTAACGTGATTTGGGCATAATTTAGACAGACCTGCTTATATAATATCTAGTCTTCATTTCATAAATCCTATAGCCACTCCTTAATCTGATCTTTAAATAGTATTAGAACCATCGGAAATATGCTTTAAATAAAATTTATGTATTTACATTCAAAATCCAGTCACATCAGATGTTCAATTTTGTTGTTTTAGTTTGCTATTATTTGTAATAGCAAAATATTGGAAATAAGCTAAATGTCCATCAGTAAAATATGGGTTAAACAGAATTGTGGTGATTTCATATAATGATTTATGATCAGCTGTTTAATACAATTAGGTGAATCTACACATTTGATATGAAAATATTTCCAAGATACACTATTTAACAAAAATTAAGGTTCTAAATAGTGTGCACAACATGCTAATATTAGTTTAAATAACTTTCTCGATGGATACATGTGTAACAGGTAACAGCAGTTTCCTCTGAGGAGTAGAAGTGGATGGCTGAGGAATGGTGACTGGTGAGAGAAGGGCAGTATGGGGCAGGCAGAAGGAAGATTTAATCTTCTCTAATATACCTTTTGTGCATTTTGAACCATATGCATATATTGTGTATTCAAAACATGAATGAAACTAAAATTAAATTTAAGCCCGCCATTTTACATTTAATATATTAAAAAATAACTTCAGTTTTGTTGGAGAATTATTATCAATTTGCCTTACACATCCAAATAATAAACACTTAGCTACCTGGAAACTATTCTTACACAATCTTATTTTCAAATATTTCTTGCTTCCAAATGAATCAACTGGAATACGACAGGTGGGAAGCAATTGTAAATAATATACGAATATTTCATATAAGGAGATGATGATCTTGTTCTACTTTCAAGCAGGGTATCAATTTGGGGTCATTGTTGTCTCCTACCCTTAACTCCCACCATAGACTATGGATATATTTACCCTGATTTTACTATTGTTAAATGTTAATTACTGAAGTTGACATTTATTAATACGAATGATAATTTTAAGTGCCTTAAACTTACAGGTGGTTCATAATTTTCAAAGTACTTTCAGATACATTAGCTCATCTACCCAATGACCTTTGTAAGGTAAAGAAGGCAGTTAAAATTGTGGCTAGTGTAGAGATGAAGCTAAATGAAGCTCACATTGTCTTATTTGGTGCCCCCTTGTGACCAAAAGCCTCCATTTGCAGGATGGATAGGAAGACAGAAGTTTAGGCAAGAGATAGGTAAAGAGATCAATACTGAATCAATGGTTTTAGCCTCTTGTCTGTGTGCTAATTAACTAAGCTAAGGTTCCTAGGCCATTGGGAAACATGATTCTAGTAGGACAGCCCACACACAAACCCTTTGTTCCCCTACACCCATGAATAGCAGGGGATGAACTTGCAGTTACCCCAACACATCCCAATGGGATATATGGGTGTGGAGCCTCATTAAATTCCAATATCATGTTTAAGCCTGGGAATTGCCAAGAAGTACAAAACATTTGTGATGATGAAGCAGCAACTGCAGCAGTTCATCTGGATCGTGACCACCAGCCCAGAGACAAATCTATCAGCACCCTGCATAATTACGGCATTTGCAGATTAGCTAGAGTACATGCTGCCATGGGCGGGCAAGCTCATTTCTTTCTTATTTTTTTAAAATCTCATCTGAAATTCACAGTTACTATTTGGGAAAGGAAAGAGAGAACTGTCAATACCAAGCTGCCTAAACAACAGAGCAGAGATTTACAATTTTATTAGGAATCTTATTCTGGAACTTGCGAGTGACTAATTGGGGGCTGAGCTAGTCTTTGAATTTGCTGCTTAAGTTTCATGTTTTGACTGAAAGAATGAGAGCAAAGGATGCAGTTGGGTACTAACATTTCAGTGTACAATTCCTTCCCTGCATTTTCCACTGTACCTGCTTATGTTTAATTATCCTTAAATATAATTGCTCCACTGAGTATACCATGACACTAGTCTTAATGTACTAGTGAAGCTACTACTGTTACTGCTTGCTTCTTACTAAGGCTAGATTTTATATGTTTGACACAACTTTCCTGGAAAAAAATGCTCAAATTAACTCTTTCTTTTCTATTATAAGCAATGGTTATATCTACATGTACAACCAGATCAACTGGTTAGACTAAAATTATTGGTCAATTTCCATAAACTTAGTATAAAAAATCAGTAGAATTAGTTGTTTGATGGAATCAATCAGTTTGACTATATTGCCCAAGTGTTACATACTGTTACTACAATTTTCATTGGCTTCTTTTGTTGTTGCCTTGTCTGTTTAATTAGATTTTCCAGAAAGACAAAGTGGGAAGGAGTAGAAGGACAGAAACTCATTAATTTCTGTGAATAAAGCCATGTTGGAATTTGAATGTTAAGGTCAATAAAATGGATCTCCCCAAATATATTCAGTACACCAGCATTAAAATCACATAGCAAAATCACTATTTATCACAGCATTTAATCATTCAAAACTCACAAATGTCTCCTACATATATAAAGGGCTAAACTCTGAATTTGTCATCTGAGAACATAAAGGCAGGCACAACTTTCCTGTCTTGTTACACACACATCTGTTATTTTATCATTGCTATTGCCAAGTTACTGTCCTCATTTGTCCCGTTAACACATTGCATTCATTTCCAACTCTGCATCTTGGCTTAAACTCTTTTCCCAAGGTGGAACACAAATAATAATAGTTACCATAGTTATCATTTCTTTAGTATCTA